ACCGCTCAAATCCTTTTGGTTTTCGAGAATTGGTGTTTTAATCATTTTTTTTTTTTTTTTTTGGTTTTCGAGAAATTGCGTTTTATAATTTTTTCATTTTTTTTCTCAAGAAAACTTAGATATAAAAAAATTAACCGAACTTCAGTTTTTCAACCGTTAAGTGAGTTGCTCAGGGTACATTCAGGGATTGCAAATCTAGCTGAAGTATAACTACCCAATTCTTCTTAGTTTTCGAGACATGGCGTTTCTTATGATTTTTTTTTCATTTTTTTTGTCAAAAAATTAAGATATAAAAAAACCTACCGATTCTGAATATCTCAACCCTATAGTCGGGTTTTGTCAGGGTTTGTTTAGGGGTTGCAAATCTGGCGTCCAAGTATGATTGCTCAAATACTTTTGGTTTTCGAGAAATTGCGTTTTTTATGATTTTTTCATTTTTTTTTTCAAAAACCTAGATGTAAAAAAAATTAACCGAACTTCAATTTCTCAACCCTATAGTGGGGTGCTGTCAGGATACATTCAGGGGTTGCAAATTTGGAGTCCAAGTTTGACTGCTCAAATTTTTTTTGGTTTTCGAGAAATGGCGTTTTTTATGATTTTTTCATGTTTTTTTTTTCAAAAAAATTTAGATGTAAAAAAAATTAGATGTAAAAAAATTAACCGAACATCAATTTCTCAACCCTATAGTGAGGTTCTGTCAGGGTACATTCAGGGGTTGCAAATCTGGAGTCCAGGTTTGACTGCTCAAATCTTTTTTTTTCTAGAATTTGGGTTTGTATGTTTTCTGAAGACTTGGTTTTGTAGCACCGGAGGATTGATTGACGCGCTAGTCTCATTAAAGTAGATAAACATTTAAGGTTTTGAGGAAAGTGCAGTTTTTGAAATCACGCATTTCGTCCTGCATCTGTGTAACAAATTCAAAAATTATCAAAAGCGTTCCTCCAAATTAAGTTGTGCTCTAGTTTTACTTCATCAAGACATAGGAAAATTTTGGTTCTTTTAATTATTCCAACATTTTTTCATTTTCCACTTAATGACTATTGTATCGCAAGTCATGCGAATGTATTTTTTTTGTAGGAGAATTGTTGTTTTCGGGATATTTCTAAAATCTAAAACTCTTTCACTTTTTATCTTATTTTAGTAGATAAACAACTAAGGTTTTGGGAAATTGCATTTTTTTAAATCACGCATTTCGTCCTGCATCAGTATAACAAAGTCAAAAATTATCAAAAGTGTATCTTTAGATTAAGCTGTCCTCTAGTTTTACTTCATCAAGACATACGAAAATTTTTGTTCGCCCAATTTTTTCAACATTTTTCCATTTTTCACTTGTTTTTTTTTCACTTGTTAGTTTTTCCATTTTTTACTTGTCATTTTTCCATTTTAAAATATCGACCTATAGTTTGGCTGCTTTTGTCTTGTCGGCTTATTTGTAAAAATTTAAAAAACATTTTTTCAAATTTTCAATCTAGTTACTCTGTGTTGTGAAATACTCCTGCGATATTTAGTTTTACTAGCCTTGATTTCGTGTTTTGATCTTTTTTTTTGCTTAAAAAGTTTATTTGGCTTCAATGATTTCGGTTGAGTGCCTAATTTGGGCTCATTTGAAAGGAAGCATAAGGTTAATGCTTTTTTGCGGTTAGCACAAAATGCTGAAATTTTTAGACTATAATTCATAGTTCAAAGTTTTCATGACAGCAATTATATTTTCGATTCTAGGGGAAATTATTTTAGTTTCGTAGGCTCCGTTGCCGCTCGTTTTTTGTCCTTTGATTTTTCACTATTTGCGATCGATTGTGTTTCTGAACGTGTATTTTGCAATTAGAAAATGATTCTAGGCAACATTGAATTTTTTTAGTTGTGGGTTTTTGAAGTGTTTTTTTTTGGACTTAGTGGCTTTCTTTTTCGATCTGATAGCTTGCTTTGCTATTGTTACGTTGTGTTGCAAGTATTGCGAAGCTCCACTTCGCTTCTGTGCACAATTTCGCTGGGCGGAATAAATAAAAATCTCAATCGTGCCTCAAATTTTAAAAATCTCAAAAAATGCATAAATAAAATTATTTTCGAGTAATAGCCAAAATGTTTAAATCAAAAATTTTTCCATCGAATCTGCCCTGATACTAACAGTCTTAATAGGTTTATTGAAAAAAGTGGTTGGCCTTTTCTGTGGGGCTTAATTTTCTTTTGGCATGTAACTTGGACATCAAATATTAAAAACTATGAGAAACGCTCTTGAAATCAATTTGGTTGATTTTTTTCCGATAGTTCCCGAAAGTGAAATTTGATAACGATAGAAAACTGATAGTTCTCCTAAAGATTATTATAGGCTTGCGAGCTGCAATCTTTTTTAAATGAGAATAAAGACTTTTTCGGATTTGAATCAAAAACATTATAATCACTTGATGGCTTAAATTAAGTTCAAGTTTCCCGACTTGTGCGACCAACTTTGCCTTGAGAATACGTTTAGGCCTGACGCGGCAAAGGTCTTGGGTGCCAATCCGGCTAGGACCTGTTTTCTGGAAAAGTTGTCGGCTTTCGTCAACTGATTTTTATCGCCTTTTCGGTTTTGTCGCCTGATTTGCCACATCGAGGATTTTTTGTGCTGTTGCTGGAAACAATTTTCATCGTGGTTGCAAGTTTTTTTTGTTTTGAGATTTTGGGTTTAATGGATAGAACGAATTGTGAGATTTTTCCGTGCTAAAGCGCCAGCACCCAAGTTTACCTACACAAAATGTTATGGACCTCAGAAATTTTGGAACTTCGTTTTTTTACTGTTTTTTGAAACGTTTGACTTTCTTCAAAAACAACCCTCCCAAATCTGAGATCCGGGCTCAATCGAAAGAACCGATTGTGTGAAGCTCTCATGAATGAGTGGCTACGACCATTTTTATCCGCAAGAAGTATTGGTCCTCGGAAAAGTCAAATATTTGATTTTCCCAATTTCAATTTTCTAACTTTTCTCGAAAATGAACCTTCGAAGTTTTTGATTGTGGGATCAATCAAAATAGTAGCAAGCTCCCTCGCATTAGCGGCATTTCACGATCTGTTTTTTTTTTCTAAGTTATTGTCTTCTGAAAAGTCAATTTTTTTATTATTTTTTTTTCAACTTCTAAATGTTATGACTTTTACCGAAAAATACTCTCATATCTGCGCTGTGAGAAGCTCCTTCACATACCTGTGAGAAAAACCGGCTGTGAGAACCTCCTTCGCATACCTGACTGCGCCAAAATTTTCATGGCGCAAAAATTATGGGCCTCAGAAAGTCTTGATTTTTTGCAACTTATTGACTTTTCTCGAAATACCCTGAAGACCCGGTTATTTGGTTTCAATCGAAATTACAGTTTAGATCAATCTCTACACGAGCGATCAAGTCCATGTTTTGGAACAAAAAGCTATAATTCTCGAAATGTGAACTATCTCATTTGTAGACTGTTTTTTGGAATTTTCTGGATAACTATCCTGCCAAATGCGATAACATAAGTTTAATCGATACAACAGTTTGTTGAAAGCTTACTTTTATAATTTGCTAAGCCCAGTTTCTTTTAAAAAATGTTATGGCCTTCAAATAAATGATAGTTTTGAAACTTATACTTTTTAGAAGCTATTTTTCTTGAAAACTTCCCTATCAAATCCGAGATGAAACGTTCAATCGAAAGAAGCGGTTGCGCGAATTTTTCCTGAAGAAGCGGCTACAACTTATTTTTTTGTAGGAGAATTGTTGTTTTCGGGCAATTTCTAAAATCTAAAATTCTTTCACTTTTTATCTTATTCTAGTAGATAAACAACTAAGGTTTTGGAGAAATTGCATTTTTTGAAATCACGCATGGCCAAAAATTATCAAAAGAAAGTGTATCTTTAGATTAAGCTGTCCTCTAGTTTTACTTCATCAAGACAAACGAAAATTTTTGTTCGCCCCATTTTTTCAAAATTTTTCCATTTTTCACTTGTTTTTTTCTTTCACTTGTTAATTTTTCCATTTTTTACTTGTCATTTTTCTATTTTAAAATATCGACCTATAGTTTGGCTGCTTTTGTCTTGTCGGCTTATTTGTAAAAATTTTTAAAAATTTTTTCTTTCAAATTTTCAATCTAGTTACTCTGTGTTTTGAAATACTCCTGTGATATTTAGTTTTACTAGCCTTGATTTCGTATGTTTTGATCTTTTTTTTTAGCTTTAAAAGTTTATTCGGCTTATATGATTTCGGTTAAGTGACCTAATTTGGGGCCCTTTGAAAGGAAGCATAAAGAACAGATTGTGTGAAGCTCTCATGAATGAGTGGCTACGACCATTTTTTCCACAAGAAGTTTTGGTCCTTGGAAAAGTCAAATGTTTGATTTTTCCCCATTTCAATTTTCGAACTTTTCTCGAAAATGCCCCATCGAAATTGTAGATTTTGGGTTCAATCGGAAGAAGAGATTATGTGAAGCTTCTCTATTAAAGTGGCTGCGGACAAATTTCTTATACAATCTTCTAGGGCTTTCGGAAAAGTCAGGATTTTTCGAGCTTTTGAAACTTTTGACTTGTCCCGAAAACTACCATCCCCTATCTTAGATTTTGTGTTTAATCAAAAGAAAGGGTTAAGGAAGTCCCTCTGTATAAATTGCGTTGTCCAATTTTTCCAACAAAAAATTATGGCGCTCAGAAAAATCTTGATTTTTGACCGTTTTTTGGAACTTCTTGACTTTTCGCGAACTAACCTGCCAAACCCAGATTTTTGGTTTCAATGGAAATTACAGGTTGGTTGAATCTCTTCTGCATAAGCGGCCAACCCCATTTTTCTTTGAAACAAAAAGCTCTGATTCTCAAAATGTCAACTATTTCATTTGCTGACCGTTTTTTGGACGTTTCTTGATAACTACCCCTTCGTATATAAGCGACTTCGATAAACGCCTTTGAGTTTGCAAGAAAAATGTTATATCGGTGGTTAAAAGTTTTTCCTGTTGTACTTGGGTTTGAAGTTTACCTTTTATTAAATTTTTCTTGTGTGCCTTGAAATAGCGGAACTGATTTTTCTTTCAAATAGTGTTATCATTCAGGTTGCAATGTTTTCGTATAACAAAAAGGCTGAGCGCCTGGTGCGAGACCTCATTAGTCGTATCACCGCAGATGATAATGAAAATTCCGACTCTGTTTCGAAGTTGGAAAAGCAAATTAAATCAACCCTGAAGCACCATCGCTTTCTTGACGTCAACAGTCACGAGATTAAGAGAACAATCGAAGGTCTTGAAACTAAACTGAGAGTACATAATAAGATACCAGAAGCTGATTTACTGCAAGATTTGTTCGATAAATTCATTCATTTTGGTTTTGAGGAAAACTCAGCTCTAAGTGATTTTAACTTCTCATGTGTGTCATTTCTGCATTTATGTGCCTATCAGCCTACTGAAAATGATTTCACACCTGAGCTGAAAGGGGTTCAAAAAGAAAACGACGACGAAGACATAAAGTTGTGGACGGAATGGTTAATAAGTAACCGGAAGGCAAATGGTTTTATTGAAGATAACATGGATGATCATGAAAATGATTCCGAACTAAGTGATTGGGATTTAGAAGCTGATAGTGATAATCCGGAGGATAATAGAATTGAACCACGGAGCGGTTTGCGTTTAGATAGAAATTTTAAAAATCAGCATCAAAATGAACCAATAGTTGTCGAGGCATCGGATGATGAGCATGAGCAAAAAACGGACATTGATGAGAACTCAGCAAATGATAGTTCAGACGACAGCCAATTTAACCTGAAACAAGTTGAATATACTTTCGAAAATCTAGATGACCGCAATTTCTACTGGCGACCAAATCGCGGGTTCGACAAAGCGCTGCTAGAATTGACATTGGATATAAAAAACGACGATAACTCTTTTTTCGCGAAATCGTATTTAGCTTTGAGAAGTAGCAATCCTTTGCTTCGGCCTGTTAAAAGTTCATCGATTTGCCTAACTGAATCTCTTATAATTCGTGAGTGCATATGGTCGCTACTCAGCAACGAGATAAATTTGACGATTTTCATAAAAGCGCAAAATAATGATGAGTTTATCGTCAATCCTGATGTATTTCTGACTCATTTGAGCTTCTCATCTCTGAAAAGTACATTAGCTAGTTTCATGAAGTTTAGAAACGATGTTACGATTTGTCGTCAACTTTGCGCAGAGTTTGAACCTGTAGTTAGCTGTGTTGCTCTTACTGAATTTGCGCAGTCAGCTAGGAATGAAATTCTTGAACCATTTGAAAATTTTCTCCTGAATATTGAACAAAAAACTAAGGATAGCTATACCACCTACTCACTTCTGAGTTTCTACCAAGATGCTACAGACTGGAGAATTCTTTTTGGCTTTTTGGCGGAAATTTGCAACAGAATTTTCCATAAATTGTACGAAGTTTCATCTTTTCCGGAGAAAGAAAGCTCGAACAATGGTACAGCGACGTTAACGTTATTTGTCTTAAAACAGGCAAGCTATATGTTGAATAAATTTCTGCTAGGACTTTCAAAACCCAAATGTTTGAGCTTGCAAGCATTTGTTAATATCTTTACTAGCACTTGGGGTGCCAGTTTGAAAATTGTGGAAAACTGGATAAAGTTGGGTTGTTTGGACAAAACCAGAGCAAATGAATTTTTCATTAAAAGAAATGCTGCTATTGAAATAGTTTCGGCAATGTTTTGGAAACAAGCCTTTGTTCTCGAAGGTGAAACGCGGAATTTTTTGAGCGAACACGACAGGAATTTCTTCTTGAAACTTGCTGATGTGGCAAAAGCGGTAGAAATGATAACTAATTCTAAGATAGCTTTACCGAATGGATTTCCACCAGATATTGTGGCAGCGTTCAAAAAGGAAACGAATGCGTATTTTGAGCTTCCAGAAATTACTTTTCGTAATAAAAGTATTGACGACGCAAACTTATACCTACAGGAGTCTATTCTTGATGTTGAAATCAAAACAGTTCTTCGAAATGAATCTGAAAATCTACTTGAGAAGATATGTACAAAGACTTCGAGCCCGGTTTATAAGCGGAATATTTATCGGGCTAAATTTCCCGCTTATAAAATAATTTTGAAAGAACTTAACGTGGCAAACATTTTGCTTCTGTCGGAGATCAAAACATCTGAAATGAATCTTTTTACAAGAGGAGTATCAGCACTATACTTATTTCAGTCTAATTCTTCAGAAATGCACGATTTTCTGTTTGAGCTATTTGAAGATTTGTCTTTGAAGCGAAAGTGGAAAGATCCAACAATGTTGACTTTGAAACTACAAGATGTTTTCGAGAACTCAAACAGTGGACTTACTGAAGATTTCTATGAAAATATTGTGGCTTCATTGAATAGCAACGAAAGTTCAAATCAACCAAATGTCAATCAGAATATGATTAATCAATTGAGTGAACTGAAAATCATGCTCAATGTTTGGTGGCCTGTCAGCGTGGTATTTTCTCCTGATATTTTCTACACGCTCAATAAGGTTTTCGTGTTTTTGTCTCAAATTAAATGGGCAAAGTATGCGACAACGAGACTGAAGTTATCTTCCCTTCAGCGCTATTTTAGAAGTCAAAAAGACGGTGGCGGTAGACTGAAGAATCTGTTTTACAGATTTCGCTTCAGAATTATTCATTTTGTCAATGTGCTGGAAACATATTTCATGACCAGAGTAATACACGCTACTCATAATTCTCTGAACGAAAATATCTCCAAGGTAAAAACAATCGCCTTATCAAAGTTTCATTTTAACTTGAATTTTAAATAAACATTATTTCAATGAAAAGAATTCCTTTCCAATATTTTTCTATGAATGACCATTTTCATCCAGAGAAGTCGATTTTTAGACTTTTTGATTAGAGTGTTTTGGGTTGGTTATCTTTGTGTTTGTAGGCTCGAACGATAAACGATGTTTTGGATTCAGTTAATGAATTTGCGACTACTTTGACGAACAGGTGTCTTCTGAACAAAGAGTCCGGCAAAGTGCGTTCAGCTCTGATGTCAGCGTTGAACACTTTCCTGCTTTTTGTGAAACAGTCTGAGAAAATGACGTGTTCCGATGTGAATCTGGAATCAATTGCGCCTGGAATTGAACAAGCCTACCAGACATTTGACAACATATATTTGTTCATACAGTCTTTGCTGAGGAAACTCGTCAAAAGAGGTTCTTTTCAACACCTTGAATCCCTAGCTTTTGCTCTCTCGTAGATGTTAAAATTAGAACTATTGTATAATTTAGTTTGGTAATCTGAAATTGAACTTTATTTTAAATTATTTGCTGAAAGCAAGCAGAAAAAGGGCTTCCGCTGATTGAAGCGTGACGTATGAATATTGACTGCCCAGCCTTAGTATTATAGGCTAAACACAATCAATCATTTTTTTTGACATGAAATGAAAAGATTTGGATTTGTTCAAAACATGCACAAGTTTCATTGGCAAAAATAAAAAAACATGCTTTTTTTCAGATGGGACCTGATTTAAAGTAATGAACTCATCGGTAGACTAGGTTTTAACTTATGCCAATTTCAACCCAACAAGCGGCAGAAGCAGTTAAAAACGCAGATTCCGCTTCCTGCTTCGACATGGCTAAAGTACTAATGCCGGGTCAACTAGTGAAATCCAACATTGCCCCAGAACTGATCCAGGGCTACTACGCCAAACGAGGAAGTTCGTTCGAAGAAGAAGAAGAAGCGAGGAATATTTCGAAGGTATACAAAAGTGGGCGCCTCGATAAAGATATCGGCATATTGGTGAAACCAGGTGAATCTAAATCAAGGCCCTTACTAGTGCAATTGGGAAAACCTCTGGGAACTTTTTTCCCGCCTTCTCACGGACCTTTCAGTGCACTAACTCCAAGTATGTGGCCGCAAGATATTTTAAGTGTGTTGACACAAAGTGAAAAGTACAGAATGTCCCCCGAGTTCAGGTACGATGAGTTCGGGTTTCGCGAGGACCGCGAAGACGACGCTGAGCCGAACAGCAATCAGTTGCTAAGCGAACCGTTGAACGATGATCCAAATTTGGTTCTCAGATGGGTTGCGCATTTGGAGTTTACGTGCAATCATGACATGGGTGATTTAACGTGGGATAAGGTCGATGACATTTTGCCTAAATCTGAGAAGCTTCGCATGCTGGTGAAAGAAGGGATCCCACATTGCATGCGACCTCAAATTTGGTCTAGACTGGGAGGAGGCAGACTAAAACAAGTCAAGTCTGAGATATCGTATGTAGAAATTGTGAAGCACTCGACAGACGACAACCTGATTTCATCTCGCCAAATCGAGAAAGACTTGCTAAGGACGCTGCCAAACAATGCACTGTTTTCTGCAATGTTATCCTACGGTGTTCCTAGGCTGAGACGTGTTCTAAGAGCTCTGGCCTGGCTCTACCCTGAGATTGGGTATTGCCAGGGAATGGGAACAATTGTCGCAACTTTCCTTCTATTTATGGAAGAGGAAGAAACGTTCTGGATGGTTGCTGCAATAATTGAAGATATTGTACCGGCATCTTACTACACACATTCACTTCTAGGCGTACAAGCTGATCAGAAAGTTTTGAGACACTTAGTGATGAATTATCTACCTGAAATCGACATTCATCTAAAAGAGTATGACATTGAGTTGTCTCTCATCACGTTGCACTGGTTCCTGACCCTGTTTTCTGGAGTCTTACACATGAAAGTTCTACTGCGAGTGTGGGATCAGTTATTCTATGAAGGATCCGTTGTTCTGTTTCAAATAACTCTTGGCCTGCTAAAAATGAATGAAAATGAGATTTTGGAACAAGACAACACCGCGCAGATATTCAACCTACTGTCCAAGCTACCAGAAATGATTACAGATGTTGACAAAGTTCTTCAAATTGCATCCAAAACTGCTGGATCATTGACTGAAGTTCTGATCGAGACGCAACGACGAAAACAAATGGCTGTAGTTATCGAGGAGCATAAATCTAAAGGTCATGAACTGGATACTGAAGGAGCAAGTAAGCAAGTTGTAAGTCGGAGACAAATGCGAAGACCAAAATCGATGATCAACTTATTCTTTAGCTCAAATGACCTCGAAAGTGAAAAGGTGAAAAATATCCAACAGACGGAAATCATCACCGATCTAAGAGATTCAGTGCAGCAAATCGCGAGGCACTTTCAGGCCACAGAGAAGAAGTACAAAACCTTGTCTATCGTCGCTGACTACACTTTAGAATCACATCAGAAAGACCATGAAAGGTATCTGAAGATTGCAAGAAACAGACGACGAAGAGCGAAAGCGTTGCTCGATTTCGAGCGCCACGATGATGACGAGCTTGGCTTCAAACGAAATGATATCATCACTATAATCTCAATGAAAGATGAACATTGCTGGGTTGGAGAATTAAATGGAGTGCGAGGTTGGTTCCCAGCTAAATTTGTTGAATTGTTGGATGAACGAAGCAAACAATACACACATGCTGGAGACGATTCAGTAACAGATACTATTACAGATCTGGTGCGAGGACACTTATGTCCTAATTTGGACAAGTTCTTTCGCCATGGAATGAAGCAAGCCATGATTGGCCATGAATGTCATCCATGGTTATTCGTAGAAGAAGCTGCCATAAAAGAAGTTGAGAAAGACTTCAACTCTGTTTACTCTCGTTTAGTGCTGTGTAAGACGTATCGTTTAGACGAAGATGGTAAAGTCCTAACTCCTGAGGAGTTATTATACCGTTCAGTGCAGTCGATCAATCAAACTCATGATACAGTGCATGTAGGCATGGATGCGAAATTCAGATCCTGGGTCTGTCTAGGCTTGAACGAACAAGTTCTTCACATCTGGCTGGAAATTTTGGCATCGTGTGAAACGGTCACAGGCAAATGGTTCAACAGAGGCGCATTCATGAATTCGCCAGGATGGGTTCAAATTAAATGTGAATTAAGAATCCTTTGTGAGTTTGGATTCAATTTACACGTGCATACCGAGCTGCCGAGTAAAGCAGCTAAAGATAATATGGCACTGAAGACCATTACAAATGCACCTGGGTCTAAAAGGTCGGACTCATCAACTAGTTCAAATAAACCAATGAAAGAGGGCGTTAGAGATTTGCTGGTAAAGCATCATCTGTTTTCATGGGATCTGTAGTTCGATTAAATTAGTGCTAAAATGTCAGAGGTTAAATATATTTAAATCAGTCAATCTCCAAACTTTAATAGATGACCTATTTATAGAGTTGAATTTGTAAAACTATTATATGATAATTCGTACATGATTAGAGCTTCTAAGTTTTAAGAACCGTTTCGCGGGAAGTTAATTTTCTAGTTTTCCAGAATTGGCTCAAATTAAGCACTAACAACATCACAAGAAGAAATCATTGTCGAATATAAGTTTAAGTGTAAATTTTCGAATGTCTTGCAATTGTCAATAGGTAATTTATGAATCAATAATCCTACATTACTTGATTTCATATCAGTATATTCTGTGTTCTGTTTGTAAATGTTAGCAATCTTATTTATATGTATAGAGAATGCAATTGTTTGTTTTCTGTCTTTTCTTTTTCATTCTTCGAACTTGTCTGTTTAATTTAGTTTGCGTTACATTATCGCGGCATATATTTTTAACGGTGGCGAAGCGAATAATTTAGGACTCGCTTTGTTGGTGCAATAGATTTTTTAAACCTCAGTTTGAATCTCATGGGCAGTGTTTGTCGTTACTAGCATCAGATTTGTAAACTACTGTCCGCGAGTTTTGAGGCTCGAGTTATTTCTCACATGCGCCAGGATTTCTCGCAGGGGCCAAAATAGTTGTACTTCAAACAAGTGAAGTAGGATTTTCTTCGTTTGACTTACTTTTTTTTTTACTTTTTGCTCACTCGTCAATGCAAGATGAAGCTTCAGCTCTGAAAAGAGCTATGGACAACTATTGCACGGTTTTTTGAAATTATATTTTGCAAATAAGGCTCCATTTCTTAAATCTAATTCCATGTGACGAGGTCAGTGACTGGTTTGTTTTACTACATACGCAAAAGTAATGTTTTGAGCTCAGGCAATCATGCGCTATAGATATTTCTGAAACCATCCTTTATTTTTACCCTTGCGATAAGCAAGGTTATATTAATCGGGATATAGACTTTTCCCGTAACCAACTTTGTTCACAGAATGGTCAAATGGTAATCAGTATATTTTATATCCGCTACATATATGGTTTGTGTACCGCTGTATTGCTAATTAATAGCATGGTCAGTATATTGGCAAAATATGCGCCGTTTAAGTATAAGAGTTGTAAATTAGTTTTTCGTATTGGAAGTTTTGGTAGATTTTCGGCACTGATGTTGGTCGGAATTGTAATCATTCTTCTAAGACCTCCGTAATAAAATTAGAAAAATTAAACAAGAAAACAAGTTATTATTTTTTTAAAATAAAATTTATTTTTCTAGCCAATTTGTGCCTTTAACAGCTGTAATTAAAAGGCTGTTCCAGAGCTACTGAAGTGATTCTGGGTCTACAGCTGAAAAAATTTTCAGTTATAAATTGATTTTTTGTAGTCTTTTTTGATTTCTTATCAATTTTTGCCGTCTTACTTGCCGGGTGTTTTATTTCGGTAATTTTTGTCGACTTTTTTAAACAACTTTGTTTCTTTGTAATCCTGAGGTTAAATTTATTGAATAGTTGCTTGGTTTTTGTACACTCCAAAAGTTATTGTTGGAAAAGAAAAAAACTGAAAATAAGAAAAAACTTGCAAAAAAGTTTTCCAGAAGATTTTATTTCTATATGCATCATTTCTGACTTTTTAATCTAAAAGTGCATGGAATTAGTTTTAAGTTTTATCTGTTTAGTGTATTTTAGATTGAGACGTTTAATTCGGAATCGATTTATTTTGATGTTATAGCGTTTTGTTTTAATATTTCAAAATTATTCCGAAATGATTCATTAGTTTCCATAATGTTTTTATGCAATTTTAAGTTCTCTGGTTTGTCTACGAAAATATGAGGCAAGTTTTGCACGAGATTCAGGAGTATGGTTTTTTCTAGTTGAAGTTTCTGAATTTATTTTTTTTGGGCTTTTTTATTATAATTTTTCTGTGTTGTGATTCACCAGCTCTCTTAATGTTGCGTATCAACTTCCTATTCGATGAATTTGATGTTATTGAGTTATTTTTTAAGCCTTCAAAGTTTTTTTTCAGATTTTCTGCAAGTTTTTTGTGGAAATTGTTTGAAACTTATTTTTTCGTTTTTTTGTTTTTTTTAAAGTTTTTTCAATTTTATCGCAAATAACGGTCAGAACCTTTTCGTAAGCTCAATTGTTCCTTTAGGACATCTAGGTTCTCCATAAGCAAAATTTTTTTGAGTACATTCAAGAACTTCGATGCAGATTTTTTGACCTTTTTTGTTATCGTTTCCATCTATTGGTTATGAAAAAGACATGAATGGAGTTTGTTGACCGAATCTTTCTAGTTTTAGGTAATTGATTTTATTAAGTTAAAATATCGAAATTGATAACATTGAAACTCCTGTTATTGCGAGCTTTATTTCCATTTTTGAGACAAGGCAGTCAAGAGATCTGTGTTGATAGCTGCCCAAGTTTTAAAATATCACTTTTGGAAGCGTTGGAGCTTTAAGTTGTGGATTAATGGCATTGAGAATGGCAGGTATAGTCTGAAGTTCTGATAATGTAAGTTGGGGTTATGCATTCTTGTTGTTCTGACCATTTGATAATTATGGAGGAACTTTGTATTCTGTGTGTTATAGTTTTTTTTGTTTATTTTCCACGCAAAATCAGGTACCACAAATAATCATGAGACTAGGTCGAGTGATATATCATACTAAAGCCCTTTTGAACGTGATTCAAACGTCATTTAAAAATTTTGGCAGTGTCTTGAAAAACTGGTAGTAAATTTTCGATTTTTGGTCTAATTTTAAGCTAATAAGGGCTAATTTGAACTGGCGTACAATGGCTTATTGAAGTTTAAATTATTTAAGCCGTGAAAAAAAAATTTTGCTCGAGTAAAATTAGTTTTTGCAGTGTTTAGTTGCATTTTGCGAATCAAAAATTTTTCCAATTGGGCTATTTGACTATTTCGCGTTTACCTAATGTCTGTTGTATCGTTCAGTTTTTTTCTAATGTAACAGTATGGAAAAAACTACTCTAATTTGAAAAAAAATATGGTATTTTCTAAAGACTATGATCGGAACATTCTGTGCTACTTGAAAGGGGATACTCGGATTTGAAGAGAAAGATTTTTTGACAGTCTTGGAGAAAAATGGTTGGAGCAAACTAATTGTAACGAACTGAAAAAAATTAGGCTAGGAATGACACTTTACTTTGTGAAATTCAAAAAAAGAGACCAAATTAACTACTTTCACTCTGAACTATGCAACTGCAAGTTATTTTGGACCTAAATGAAAAGCATGAACGATATATTATTTTAGCTTTGTACATTTATACCAAGTATTTTTTGAAGCTGTTTCTGATTATAATCTTTAAAAAGCAGTTAGTTGAAAGATAGAAAGCAGAATCGTAATTCCTGTGTTTGAACGTTCATTTTTGAGGTTAGAAGAGGCACTTCGATTTAAGAATTTTAGGAGTAACGAGTTTTTTTTTCAAAAAAAAACTTTCTGATCTCTTGAAAAACTTCAAAAACCTTATTTTTTTTATTTAGATATGTTTCAGCAAATACCTCATTTTTATTGAAGTGAATCAGAATTAAAATTGTTCTTTTTTTTCAGTAAATAAATTACCTAAAAGTTAAATTTATTTAAAAATTCCATCAATTTATGAAATAGAAAACGCCATTGAATGCCCCAGTGAGTTAGAACCGATGTGGTTAACTCATAGAGTAATTTCGGATAGGGTACACCGTCTGCTCGTCACGCTATCTTATTTTCGGCCGGATAGATTCGTGCAACTTCTTAGTCTAATACCGATCCTAATCTTACTCTTATACTTTCTAGTCTCAGGGTGTTTAACTAGTCTCTGCTAGGCTCAATAGATCTAGGGTATACTGGTTTATTGCGGCTGCTGAAGTTCTCTTGGAGAGGCAACTAATTTCTGAGTTAAATTCGAATCTCTCTGGTGCTGAAATTACAAGTAATTTCAGCACTTACAAATAAGTGGGTTGTTAGTTAGATGGATTATGATTGGTTAATATTAAATACTTTACAGTGGTAAAATATCCAATTTATCCAATCATAAAATGTAGTTTAGATCAGGTTCCACCCATCCGGGTTCTACAGAGTTTTTTAGAATTATCTTTGTGCAATTCAAAGGATGGATGATGAACGTTGGTATTTGGCGAACATCATATTCTTGTCCGGTTCCTCTTGTTAAAGAAGTTCCAGGACGCTGGAGTTAGGAACATCAATCGTTGTGTCGTCTTGTGACAACGACTGTGTTCCCCAATGAAATCAATCTGATTTCAGAATGGTTTGCTATGACGGGTTTTTCTGTATTATGTAGAGAACTTGTTTTGTGTTCAACCTCGTCTGGGAATGGCGTGGAGATCGTGTGTGGAAGGGATGCCTCGTAACTCGGATCTGCACGTATACTTGAATATCGAGGTGGTCATTGGTCTAGTTCAATGAAGTCTTTTTCTGCGAAGTCAAGTCGTACTCTAAATCCTTTGAGTTGTGATTGTGGACGGCATATTGGTTGTGGTTAGCCATTCTTTGTTCAGAATCGTAATTCCAGCCAAAGCAGAATCGTAATTCCTGTGTTTGAAGTTTCATTTTTGAGGTTAGAAGAGGCACTTCGATTTAAGAATTTTAGGAGTAACGAGTTTTTTTTTCAATGACATAAGGTTTAGGATGATGGATGCAAAGAGTTGTTAGATATTTCTATTTTCTTAGACTGTTAGTCCTTACGATTTTTTGCTTAACTTAACCTGGGTCTTTTTTGTTCAGGGTTGGAGAGAAAAGTATATCGATTCCGAAGAATGATTTTTTTTCTCGTGGCTAGTCTAAGCTAAGGTGTTAACTTACTTAATCTTTCTTAGGGGTAGTGATTGTGTTCAAGGGTTGGAGAATAGTAAATCGATCCACAAGGTTCAGGTATAATTAGAACACAAGTAGTTCGTTAGATACTATTTTAAACTTACTAACTCTAAGATCTATCCTGGGTCTGGTAAGAGGAGGGTTCAAGTGAAGGATGAATAACCGAAGTTCTTCACTGTTTATCTTAATTTGAATGGTTAGTTTTATTAAAAATTTCTATTAGTCTTGGGTCTTTTAGAAGGGTTGGATAGTGAATCGACGTTTGAGGTCGTTAGACACTTGCTAAGTGGGTGGGGGAGAACAAAACTGTTCTTTTTGATCCAAGGATAGGCCTTGATGATCAGGTTTTAAATTTAGTGAAATAGAAAATTAATTAAGATCCAAGGATAAGCCTTGATGATCTGATTTTAAAATTAATTGAATTGAAGTTTTAAATTGTTTAAGTTTATTTAAGAAATAGATTTAATTGTTTAATGATATTAGTGAGCTTATGTTTGCTGTTATGTTTTAGGTGATGA